AGAATTAGGAACTGAGCACGTGACTCTAAAACCCCAGGCTTTGTGATCTATGCCTAATTCTGGCTTTAAAACTAGGAAACGCAGAAGAGGAATATTTTCCTCCTGTGTTAAAAGGAACAGACTTAAAGCTTGATTAGAGAAGCATTATTTAGAGAAGGGTTGTACAGTACAAAATATATACTGATGCACTGAAAAGGTTACGTGTGAAGGGGGAAAACTTAAACAAAAAAGCTCTTGAGGGATATTGGATAATAATCACCTTAAAAACACAGACCTCATGGTTGGAGAATGGTGCTCTGAATGTATAAACTGGGTTTTGCCTAAGGTTCCTGCAAATGCAATAAAAACTGTCTTCTGTTTCTTAATTGCATTAGCAGGCTTGTGTGTAGCACTTCATGGTTTACTGTGTCCATGGCTGTTATAGCTCAAGGAAGAGAGATTAAGCCACCAAAGAAGTAGTAAATGAAACACATCCAGCTTGGCTGGAATGCACGGATGATCTCTATAGCAGTTTGGCACAGCATTTTGTCTGAACTCTTGTACTATGGATGAAATATAGACTGGTTTTAAGGATTACTTTTGAGAAAAGCATGAGAAAAAGACACAACAGGAATTGGCTCTGCATCTGGATATTTTTTTTCTGCTACTGTAAGTTCCAACCTCCCCTCTGTATACATTAGTGAATTATAGTAGTTTATACTTGTTGCTCATATTGAATGCCTTTATAAGAATTTGTGCACAGTATAGTAGTTAGGAGTAGTAATATTTTTATTTAGCATGCTCTTGCACCAATCAGCAGTACAAGACTTCTAGAATTTTGAATAGATAGTAGTCTATCTACATTTGACTTGTATCTAGATATATTGTGAAATATTTAATTAAAGTTTCATCATCTAATATTTAAGTCAAATACAGGATGTTTTAACCTCCAAAACAGCCTGTTCCTAAAAACTGATCTGAATGCTGATTTAAGATCCATACATGCCATGTGGGGAGTGAACCCCATTTCCCCCTCAGCCAGAGTATTACCCTGCTGCAACTAATCTAGCAATTTTCAGCATAGATGGAGTATATACCGTTATTGATCACATACAGTAAACCAATCAGGCAAGAATTCAGGCCAGCTCTCTCCCCTGTTTTAAAGATAGTTAAAGTGATAGATTTGTCCTAGAACCCGTGAAACCAAAAGGAACAGTATAGTATGTTAGTGCGTAAAGAGTTCTCAAACCTGGAGCCCACCAATCCTTATTAATTTTCAATCATTTGGTGGGAATCATAAAGGTTTTGCCTTTAAGTATTATTTAATCAATAACAGATGGGAGAACAGATGTTGATAATAAACCCTTGTTTGTTGGTTACCTAAATGATTTTGTTTTATATTAATAAATCTTCTTTTAAAAACAACTCTCAGAGGAAGAGACCTGTAGACAGTCAGTAATGTATTTCACTATGATCCTCCTTGATTAATGTTTGTTTTTGACTCTAAAATCAATATTCCTCATTTTTTATATATTATATATAACTTTGAAGAACATGAAAGAGGAGACAGCTGCAAATTATATTCAACATATCTTCTGTGACCCATACATCAACTTGTGATACAATTTGTAACTGATGTGAAAGTCATATATATGCATGCCTTTGCCATTTGCAGACAATGAAAAAACACTTTGAGTATTGCTTTCTGGTGGGAATTCAGCAAAATGCAGAGATCCATTTATTCTAATTACTGGAATTAAATTACAAGGAAGTAAATTTCTATTCTGCATTGTGTTGAGTTGCGCCACGTATCTCTCTCTCCCAACCTCACCAATCCCAAACACTCTCCTTTCCTAAATAAAATTGGCACTCATGTTGGAGGTATGACAGTTTCATAAACTACTGATTAACTTCAAGAAACATAACAGAAATCCAACCTAAGACAATTGTATTGTGAAGTGGAGGAACCTTCACTTCAGTAAAATGGGAGAATATCCTATTGTTTCCTGCTGGTTGGTTGTATTGACATTTTCTTGGATGGCTAGAACTCATACTGAGCCCTTGTAAGTATCTCTAAGATTAATTTAAATAGACTTATGTTTTTTATTGTTGGGGGGAACAGTATAGCTTTGAAAAGAATTATGTCTTTTGTAACATTAAAAAATACTAAAGTATTGCTTTTAACCTAATATTTGGCTTTTACTGAAAAAGGAGGAGGAAGCTTTAAGCAAAGATTTAGATTATGAATTCTAAACGGCTTAATATTCCTATGCCTGGCACGGCTGGACTTCTGGTTCATTCTAGAATGTCAACATTGTGAACACCATTTTTAGTCACTTAGGAGACTTACCTTGTTGTAGAGGTTACCATTTTCACTATTAATTCATGGCAAACCTCTTTCCCATTACAAGGGCGCTGCCTCCCGCTTTACATTCTCACTTGGATTGTTAAAAACAGATTCCTACTGATTTGATTAGAATCCCAAATCTTGTGGAGGGCAGATTCAGATAAATGCAAGGCTGAAGGTATTGAGATCAAAGAGCATAGGGGATGGCCTGAGTGTCCATAAACATGACTTTTTGAAATGGTGCATTTTTTGTAATAATTGCCTGGTACTTTAATATGCTATACTTAACACATTAAACAATTTAAAACAACAGCAAGAATATTTTAATAGTTAAAATTGTGATGAAAAGTGGGAGGAATAGACATTAAGCTACAGCCCTCTATACCAACAGGAAGAGTTAGGTCTTTTCTGAATTACAGTCTTTCCCAAGTCACCAAAATTCAGATGCAGGTGAAACTGACCCAAGATTAACTTCTTTTTAATGTCTTCAGATTAATGGGACATCAAGATGCCTTCAGCCAGGAAATGTTTATATATTTGAAAGTGTAGACCTCAAAGGCAGTAGCAGCCGATCAGCTGTTATTCTTTGTGGACAGTGGCTGACATTTCTCCAGAAGGAGAGTGACTAGTTTCCTGTACGCTATAGTAATCAAAGCCATAGGAAATTAGTTGTTGTTTTCTCCTACTTCCCCCGTAGCAAGAAAGAACTTATAGACACCTTCCTAGAAACATAATACCAATGTTCCTAGGTTGCCACTTAAAGATATTGAAATAATAATTTTTTAAAAAATTTAAAATAGGAAAGGAAGCATTGCCATACTGTGGCCAGGGAGTGGGAAAGCAAGGACAGCAGGATTCACCCAGCCTGGGCAGAAACTGAAAGGGTGCCCACTGGCAGATATAAGGGCTGAATGTAAAAGGGATACTTCAATGGGGTATTGCTGGATCATCTGCAAGGTGATTGAAAAACGTGGAGAAGCTAATGACTGCACAGGTACTAGAGGGAAAGGGGAATGACAAGCCAATCAGAGCTGGGGTGCCTATGATCAGAACAAACCACTGAAAACCATCTGCTCTGAAAGGCTTAAGGCAGCTCCAGTCAGAAAGCAACTATTTGAATCAAAACTGGGAAATACAGGTGGAGGATGCTGGGACTGAGAAGAGGGAGTGGGAATGTTTGTGCCCTCAGAGAGCGATGGGTAGCCCGCATGAGTATGGCTAAGCAGAAAGTGCAAATCTGCCCCAAGACTACAAGGAAATGACCGGCTGCACTATCTAAAGTGGCATTTGCTACTCTGAAGTGGTATTTCCTGATCACTGGATAAAAGGCCACTGGGACAGGAATATATCAAGATGGCTTGTATTTGCAAGCCCCCTGTTTTGTCTTATATGATCAATGTGGGGCTTCACTTGCCTGTTACCTGAGGTTTCATCTGGAGGATTTAATTTTTTCTGAGGTAAAATGTTACAGGAGAGCAAAATGCATTTTTCTTCTCAATCCTCTACTTCAGAGATAGGGCTCTTGATGTTTGCTTTCCTTCTGAAGATCTCTGGATTTTTATTCATATTGTAATATTTGCTTTTAGCTCGCAAATATCTGGGAAGGATATAGATAGAGTGCCAATTTAAATACTCCACACACAGCCAAAGTTCTTGCCTCTCACAGTAGTTCTCCAGGAAGGCAACCAGAATCTTGGGGTGCTGCTTTAGCAAACTTGTAGCTCATCTGCACCAAACTGCAGTTAGCAGTTTCTGGGGTTCTTGGTGCTCTCATGTGGGGCAACAAGTACCAAGGTCAGAGAACACCAAAACCCCCACAGTTTAGCCTTGTGCTACACATATTCTCTTCTGTTAGGATTGGTAGTTTTTAAAATAGGGGGAGCAGAAGGACTATAATTTATAGAAACTATGCAGGTACACCATCCTTCTTTCTACATGCTCTCATACTAAAGAATTGTGTGACTTTTAACAGTCTGAGCCTCATGCTAGAGGCTTTCGAGACCACCTCCCCTTATATAGCTTCTGATGTTAGATTAGCTACGGACTAGGAAGAGGCACTACCAGTCCAGTTTCATCCTTATTGGGACTCTTCAGGCGCAGGTATCCTCCACGGTAGAGGAGTGCAAGGCCTGTAGGTTCAAACCCTATGAAAGGACTGAACATAGAACATCTAGTATGGAGGATACCTACCCTGAAGAATCCCAATAAAGATGAAACTGCTGTGGTGGTGCCAATATAACATGGCTAATTTCATGGGATGCTTAAAATGTTTTAAAAGATGGCCCGCCTTCCTTGAGCTGGAGAAAGAATAAGAGCATTGTGAGACTGGTAGAAAGAAAAGTGATTTGCAAGCTCTTTTTTAATGTTATGTCTATCTTCACTGTAAGAATGTTGGTTCCTTTGCCTGCAGGATCAGATATTACAACCCTTCTTTGCTTCCAATAGGTCCCCACATCCCTCCTGCAATGACAGGCATAGCTCTATCTGCACATTACTGTTCATGCTATTGGGTATCATTAAATTGTTTATTAACCACAAGAAAGCTGGTCATATACATGTTGGCAGTGATTTCATAATGAGGAGAGGTTGGGTTAGCTGAAGGCTTTTGCTTGTACCATGTTTAATAAAAGTTCTTCCTGTAATTTAATGATGCCCCCTTGCTGCCTATTCACAGGTACACACTCATCACCCCTAATGTCATCCGTGTGGAGAGTGAGGAGACAATTGTTGTAGAGGCTCATGATTACACCAGTCCTCTTGATGTTCTAATTACTATCTATAACTTTCCCCTGAAGAACACCACGTTGACTACGACACAAGCCAGGCTAGAACCTCGAAATGGCATGGTGGTCTCTGCAAAAATAAAGGTGAGCGAGACTGTAGGCAATACTGTTTTAAAAGTTTATTTAAAAGAATTGAAGGCTGAAAAGGTCGCAGTTCTTCTTCTGCCTTCATTATCAGTAATCATGAAATCTTAGCCATTCCTGCAATCTATAACTACCAGTTTATTTGAGCTTTGATCCATTTAGTCAAATCAAGAGGAAGATGGGAGATACAAGGAAGGTGGGGAATAGCAAAGAGCATCTATGTCCTTGGCACAATGCGTGGCAGTACAGTGCAGGAAGCAACATGACCTAAGGTGGCCAGAGGGGAGGAGAAGGAGGGGAGGGTTGATGCCATGTGCAAGCTAGCTGGACAGTCAGAGCCAGGAGACCCAACTAGACTGTCCTCTTTGTGATGAGAACAAGGCCTGGCCTCACCATTCCTGGGCAAAGGAATATGCCCACTTCTGCTGGATACATACAGGTAGTCCTCAATTTACGACCATTCATTCAGTGACCGTTCGAAGTTACAATAGTAACTGAAAAAATGACTGTTCCCTGAAGTTATGGCCGTTGCAGCACCCTCACGGTCATATGATCAAAATTTGGGCGTTTGGCAGCTTGCCCACACTTACAACCGCAGGGGCACTTCAGCTCCCACCACCAGCCTATCTCCTCCCTCATCTCTGCCCTTTTGGCTGCCCTGCACCCTGCCTTGCAGGGTGGCAAGCAGCCCCAGAACCACAGAGCTCTGGGGCTGTTTGCCATGCTGTGGCTCAGGGGCTTCTTGGTGTGCCACAGCTCTGGGGATCCAAGAAGCTCCTGAGCTGCAGCACAGCATGAAGTCGCAGCCGCCCCTTGAAGCTGCAGCTGCTGCAGGCTGCCCCAGCAAGTGCCAGCAAGCCGCAATGCCCAGGAAGCCCCAGCAAGTGCCAGCAAGCTTTTGTTCGCCCAGCTGCCTTCTCTCCCAGTTCCCCACACCAACCTATCACCTTTTGCACCCAGGCACCATAACCAAAGCAGAAGCACCTTGCTGCCTTTGCTGTCTCCTTTTTTGGATCCAGCTTCTCTGGCAATTGTTCCTACACATGGCTTCCTGAGCCTTCGGAAAGCTGTGCTGTCTTCAGAAAGTCTTTGGAAAGACAGCGCAGCTTTCCAAAGGTTCAGGAAGCCACGTGTAGGAAACATTTGCCAGAGAAGCTGAGTTCAGAAAGGAGACAACAAAGGCAGCAAGGTGCTTCTGCTTCAGCCATGCCGGCTGGGTGCAAAAGGCGAAAGGTCAGTGTGGGGAACTGGGAGAGAAGGCAGCTGGGCAAATGAAAGCTTGCTGGGGCTTCCTGGGCTCTGTGGCTTGCTGTGCTTGGTGGGGCATTCTGGGGTGCCTGCGGCTTCCTGGGGCAGGGCAAGCAGCCCCAGAGCCACCATGCTGCCCTGCAAAGCAGGGTGCAGGTGGCCGAAAGAGCAGTGGCAGGGGAGATAGGCAGGTGGGGAGAGTTGGAGGCAGTTCCTTACCTTATTGAGGCTCAGGGCTGGGAGGGACCAAGCCTGAAATGGCTTGGATTGGGGTGGGTCCTTGGCTAATGAACAGTGAAATTTGGTTAACGATGGCAAGGGGGATTGCCAGGATTGCTTTCGTTAAGCAATGTGATCATGTGATGTCTCACTTTATGACCGTATCGCTTAGTCATAGAAATTTCAGTCCCAGTTATAGTTGTAGGTCTATACAGACATATAGACATACACACACCAACAAACATCCATGGTCATGTTAGTTGCATCTAACTGAAATGAGAAGAACACTAAAAGCAATGGCTGGGTTTCTACGTCACTCTAAGCCATGGTTTGTTTACCCATGATGAACTGAATAAACTAGAGCTGTCTGGGATTGCATAATGTGTTTTAAACCATAATTTACTGAATACTGATGCAGAGCCATGTGCACTTGAATCTCCTCCAAATTTCTGAGTATTGAATAAATCCTTCTTTTGAGGAGTTCAATTAAACAAAAGTCAAAACTGAAGAAAGCCAGACAGGGCAACTTAAAAATGACAATTCCAAATACCAGGAGTGAAAAGTCAACATTTTACCCAAAACCAAAAGTTGAGAACACATTAGGAAGAGCTCCCAAAGATTAATTTGTTTTTTTCAAAGCCAGAACAAGGAGAATTCAGAATGCCCAAGAAGAGAAGAGAATACTATAACCATGGGGATCAGGAACAAAATAAAGCACAATATCCACAGGATGTTACCTTGATCTTTAAAAATTGTCCAAGAAATCACAGGGACTGCTAGAGTTATAGAGGATGACTGAATATACAGACTATTACTGACCAAAACAGAGTGTATATCTCAGACTCACTAAGCAGAACTTACAGTAGTTCCCAAATACACAACATCATGGTTTATCTAGGCTGTCAGGCTCAAACACGGCTGAAGCTTAGCATTCTGACAAATCAGCCATCAACAGACACATATAAAAGACATAACCAAAAGCCAAGGAAGGAAACCATAGCTCAGAGCACATCCTCCCCAGCAACCAACACCAGGAAAAGCAGGGCAACTCAGTTCCTCCTGAGTAAGGAGGATCTGCAGAAGACTATTCTAGGCACCCATTGAACAAAGTTGCTCGGATTCACTTGGAGTTGGAATCCAGCTGCACAGGGCCTATGGAATTGTCTGAGGCATGGCCTTGCCTAGTTATCTAGGAAGAGTACAAACCTATTGATCCTGATCAAGTGGACAAGGCCCTTGGAGCTGTACGCCCAGTCACCTGTGTTTCAGAATTCTGGTTGATTGAGGTGGGAGGTGATAGAGGGTTGGGTCTGTGTGGTGGTGAAAGCTTCTCTGCCAGAGAAGAGATCATTGCCGGATTCAACAGATTTGGACAATTTTTTAAAATAATAATTTATTAAAGATTATAGTTAAACAGATTAAAAACTAATACAAACTACCAAAAAGAAAAAAGTGTAAAAAGAAAAATTGAAAGTGTAAAAAAGGGGAAAAAATAAAAGCAAGAAAAAAAGTAAAAATACAGCAAAGAAAAAGAAAAGAAATATATAAAGTAACTTCCTCCTTCATCACAAGTATAAACACTTTTAACAACTATTCACCTCTTAAATTGCAACAAAAACGTCTCTTCATCCCATCACATATCTATAAACAGATTCTTACAGCTTTGTCATTCAGTCCTGTCAGCAAAAGTCCATTAAGGGTTGCCAGAAATAACATAGCTATGTTTAACCATGACCAAATAAACACACTTTATATTCCTTCCTGTTATTTTTAACAGTCTTAATCTTTAATTCCTTCAAATAATATCTTGAAGCTTGTTTTCATTATTTCTTTGTCCCTTCTCACAAAATCCTTCAAAACTTTAACAGATCTCTTTTGTAAATCCAATATAAAAAGGTTATTCAAGTAACTTTTTTGGTTTGCCACTTACACGTTCCTTTCAATTATTAAGACATCAGCCAGTTTCAATGGTATATCGAGTGTAACATCTTTTTCCATATCACCCTTGCAGCTTGTCATTTTCAAATCTACTTTCAGATCAGTCCCAGTCCCATCTGGCAGAACTTGTTCCACTTCCACAACATCTCTTAAAAGCCATCTATCTATAATGGCAGACACTTTCAAGATTAACTTCTGGATCCATTGCTCACAAATATCCTCATGTTAAAGTATTTTGCTCCATTCTGTGTTAATCAGAGATTTAGAATTTCTTCTCTTTTAATTGTCCTCTGGTTCCCTCTAGTGTCCAATCCTATCATGGTTTTTTTCCCCAAAAAATTCAAAACAGCATTTTCCCACATGAAGGATTCCTGTGATCAATTTCAAAATCTTATTTCAAATCCATCTGGACCCCTAATCTTTCTAAACTTTCTAAAATCAACATTCTAATCACCCTTTTGCTATTTATTCCAAAAAAAATTTTTTTTTAATGTCCTTAAACTTATCTTTAAAAATTCTTTTTTTAAGGATTAAAGGGAACTCACTTGGTGGATCTTATAAAACTTGTTGATCAGAAGGTTCTTAATAGTTGAAAAACAATTAATATGCAGTTTCCAAAAGTGATTAACTAATGAGGTTCGGCAGAACTTTATGTCCATAAGGCTACTGTACATCACAGTTGTGAGCTTGGTGGATACCCCTTTACTCCCAGCCTTTCAACCCTTGAACAGATTCAGCAGTTTACTCATGAGGAGCAGCTGTATGGAGTACATGTGGGCAATCTCACAATCTCTCCTTTATCTGGAGAGGTTTGACTTGCCAGAAAACCCCGTCTGTCCCCTGGTTTCACTGCAATGCCATCTCCACTTCCTCAGAAACATCCAGTTTGCCATGAGTCCTCACCAGAAGTCTCAGATCTGGACAGTTTTTATCCAGTCTCCAACCTTCCCTTTCTAGGGAAGGTTGTTGAGAAGGTGTTTGGCTTACAGCTCCAGAGGGTCCTAGAAGAAGTGGATTATCTGGACCCTTTTCAGTCAGGATTCAGTACTGAGACAGCAGTGATCATGATTGTCAATGACCTCTGGACAACTCAGGATGGGGGTAGTGCATCCATCCTGGCCGTCCTTGATCTCTCATAAGGTTTCAAAGATCATGGTATCTTTCTGGATCATTGAAAGATCCATTGTATCCTTCTGGGTCCTCTTAAGGGATTGAGAGTAGGAGGTACTTTGTTTTGGTGGTTTTCCTCCTTTCTCTGGGGCCAATTCCACTTGGTTGGGAGGGGGAAGGGATCAAGCCTGAGGCCCCTGCTTTGTGGGTGGCTTAAGGCTCCACCCTCTCTCCATTCCTATTTAACATCTACATGAAGCTGCTGGGCGAGACCAACCATTGGCAAATGGTGCAGTATGATCAGTATACTGATGATACCCAATTGTACATTTCTACCCTGGGCTAACCAAGCAATATCATCAAGTTCCATCATGTGCCTTTCCAGTGCTAGGAGGCTGTGAGGATCTAGCTTGAGGAGAACAGACTTTGGCTATAACTCAGCAAGACTGAGAGGCTATGGGTTTTAAGGCACCCCAGTTCTAGAGATTTTCCATCCTTAACTCTGCATGGGGGTGCACTTCCCCAGTCAAAGTAGATGTGCAATTTGTGAATCCTTCTGAACTCTCAGCAGGTTGCAGCCTTGGCCAGGGGAGCCTTTGCACAGGTTCCTCTTATGTGCCAATTGCACCCATTCCTGGACTAGGAGGCCTTGTTCATGGTGACCCTTGCTTTAGTCACCTCTTGTTTGGATTATGGAAACATGCTCTACACTGGGCTACCCTTGAAGAGCTTTTGGAAGCTGGAGCTGGCTGAGAATGCAGCAGGGTGGGCAGTTTTTGATGTTTCTTGTTATGCCCATATAATACCACTGCTCCATGAGCTGCCCTGGCTCCCAGCAGGCTTCTGGGTGTGATTCAAAGGTTATCTATAAATCTCTACAGCGTATAGAGCCAGATTATTTGCTGGACTACTTTCTCCCATCGTTTTTGCTTGCCCCACTGGATCTAGCAGAGAGGGCATGCTCTGGGCCCCTTCTATTAAACAATGTCATCTTGTTGGACCCGAGAGTTGTGCTTTCTCAGTGGTAGCACCTGCTCTATGGAACTTCCTCTTGGAGATTTGGGGGGCTCTGACCCTACTAGCCTTTCATAAGGCACTGAAGTCCTGACAGTTTCCCCAGGCATTTGGGTCAGGAAATTAGGTGAGCTTTGCTGCTGTTGATGAATGGGGTTACTGTTTGTTCTTGAGCACAACGCGGGTTGAATGTTGTACTGTTTTGTGTTTTTAATCCTTGTACACTGCCCAGAGTTACTTGTGTGAAAGGGGCAGCCATAGAAATCAAATAAAGAAATGAAATGGTTTATTTTGGCTTAGCATGTTGTATGAAACCAACCACTGTGGTTAGCAAATCATGTAAATCATGACTGATATGAACCCAGCCAACTGTAGTTTATTCATTAAGCCATGTATGAATCAAGTTGTAGGTAATGCAGCAGATTTGTCTGGATCTTTTGGACTAAACCAGCAGATTTCACACATTCTTTAGCCATGGTTTGTTGTATAAAAGAAAGCTAAATGGATTTGGCAGTCAGGCTACTCATTACTGATGTAGAACAGTCTGACTTAGAACAAAGGTTCCTATGTTTTTCCTTTTTTTTTTTTTTTTGTTCTTTCAAGTCAGTCTTGCCTCCTGGCAACTACATGGACAAATCCATGTAGTTTTCTTGGCAACAATTTAGTAGTTGCTATTGCCTCCATCCCAGGACTGAGAAAGAGTGACTGACTTAAGATCACCCAGTTGGCTTCTCTGCCTAAAGCAGGACTAGAACTTAGGTTTCTCAACTCCTTCTCCAGTATCTTAACCTCTAGACCAAATTGACTCTCGTATCCTAACTATATATTATGAATAAAAGATAAAATATAGAGTTGCCTGAGAATACTGACCATATCATTCCTCTTTCACCTCATCCAGAAGGAGTGGTAAGGATCTCAAAGGGAAAAGGAGTGTACAGTACCACCCCCATGAGGTCATGTCATGTCAAAATCCATGAATTATTCTCTTCACAATCAGGGCTGAAGAAGATGTGAAAGAAGCCTGATCCTAGATTAATTTCTTAATGCCTTTTCTTCTGTAGATTCCAGCTCATGATGTGAAGAACATCCAAAGTAGACAGTTTATATATATCCAAGCTTCCAGCTCCCAGTTCACCTTGGAGAACATTGTTCGACTTTCTTTTGAAATTGGCTATATCTTCATTCAAACGGATAAACCAATCTACAAATCTGGATCAACAGGTAATAGACAATGTTGCTTGGCCAGTACTCTCTCCCAAAGACAGTACTAAGCTCCAGGGGCTGAATGCAAGAGTCTAACATATGGAATATGTTAGTCTAGAATGAGGTGCACAATGATTTTGCAGTTCTGAGAGGTGTGTCAGGTATACAGTAGGAGGAACTATAACAAAAACTATATTTACGTGTAATTAAAATGACTATAGTAATGCATCTAGTAATTTTCCCACTGTGTCACATTGAAAAATACTGTTTGGTAACAACAATTAATCAAGGTCTGTGGGGAATAAAACTAAGACTGCACAACACTGACCTGGAATACCTCCTCTTCAGCAGTCTCACAGTGATAACATCTGGCTATAAGAGGAAAAAGAATAATAAAGTTTTCATTTGTAGATGAACATTAACTTGGGGCTCAAGCTTTGAAGATTCAGAGACAGGTTGCAGAACGGGAATGCAGTTTCAGAGAATAGATAAATCAATGCCTCTGGTAAAGGTTGGACACTAACACCCTTTATTTGCTGTATTTCAGAATAGGCTAGATCATAACCAATGGTAATATGGCATAATATGGTAATTATATTCAAACATTATTAAAAGCTTATATATCTTCTTTCTAGGTGCTCTTTCCTGATAAATAAACTTTTAATAGTTTTTTAGATATTCTATGGATTATTGCCCTCTGTATGTAGTTAACAATAAGTACCCTTCACGGAGTGGAATAGCAAATCCTATTTTAATTTTTCACTTTTGAAGAAGGAATAGACTGGTGATTTATGGTGGAATCTGGCTTCATACATCCAATCATGCAACATAAAGTGTTAAGGATATCTATTTTTATTATATGAAAGCTTTACTGTAATTTACATTATTCTATCTGAACTCTCAACTACAGCAAAAGGAGGTTACCCAATATCACCTGTCACTGTTTTGAGATATCGCATTAAACCAGGATAAGCCCAACATGTAAAAGTAGCAGCCCTTAGGATTCAACATGTTCACTTTCCATAATGCAGCCTTGTAACTGGGCTGCATTAATTCCAGGTTAAAGCAACAAGTTGAATCCAGGCCTCAACCTGGTGATATATTTCATATTGTGCATATAGTCCTCATATCTTCTAATCTGATAACGTATGGTATATTTTATGCGTAGAATTGTTTGGGTAGTGTCTCCATATTTCTTTCTGTTGTTTTGCCTTGCCATTGACTACCATACATGTGTATAGATAATTCTGTGCTGAGGAGAACAGCAAGGAAGAAATAGTAGACAAGACTTGTGTTCAGTTATTTGCCTTTTCTTCCTTAGTCTTCCATTTCCATTTTCCCCATTTTCCCCATCTTTTCATCTTCCATGTACATCTTTCTTCTGAGGAATGCAGCTTTAACAGTAATAAAGCCGCTGAAGTTTCATTTTGTGGATTCTCTGCAGAAAGCTATAAAAGCAGTTCTTTAGTTGATACAAAACATAAACCTTTACTCTCTATATTAATTACTTTTTAAATTTATTAAATTTATATCCCACCCAACTCCCAGCATCTCTGAGCAGTTTAGAAATTCTTAAAAATGTTTAAAAACAAGGAAACAACAACGACAAACAAAAAATAAAGAGTAAAGATGGCAAAAATGAGAAAACCGGATGGGATCAAAGAAAAAAACAACCCCCACAATCTAAAGGGGGCTTCGCTCACTGTCACCAAAGGCCTGGGTGAAGAGCCAGGTCTTCAGGACCCTTCAAAACAGCAGTAGAGTGGGGGCCTTTCAAATCTCAGGGGGAACCTCATTCCAGAGGGCAGGCACTGCTACAGAGAAGACATACTTCATGGTCCTGATAAATGCCACTGTTTAACGAAGGAACCTGGAGCTTGCCAACCCTGCAAGATCAAATCAGCTGGACAGATACTATGAAAGACAAGCAGTCCCTCAAGTTACCAGGTCCTACATTATGCAGGGCTTTATAGGTAATGACCAGCACCTTGAATCACACCTGGAAGCAAACTGGCAACCAGTGCAGCTTCTGAAGCAGAGGTGTTACATGAGCATACCAAGGCATGTCCATAACTGACCACACCACTGCATTCTGGACCAGTTGAAGCTTCTGGGCAGTCTCCAAGGGCAGCCCCACGTAGATTACATTGCAGTAGTCAAGCTGTGAGGTGATCAGGGCATGAGTGACTTTCTGAAGAGCCCCCGATCTAGGAAAAAATGCAACTGGTTCACCAGATGAAGCTGTGCAATGAACCTCCCTGACCATAGCTGCCACCTGCTCATCAAGCAGGAGCTGTGAGTCTAGGAAGACCCCCAAATTTCACACCACCCTTGAATGGGGAAGTGCCACCACAACCAAGGTCAAAATGGAATGTCCCCAGATCCAGGCAGCCCAAACAGCCATAGATCTATCCTATTTTCTCTATATGTATTCCATTTATATCCTTTATTTCACATCTTCTAATCTGATAACATGTTGTATATTTTATGTGTAGCATTGTTTGTGTAATGTCATTATTTCTGTTTGTGGCTTTGACTAGCCATTAAGTACATTTCAGTTTGGTGTAGCGGTGAAGGCACCAGGCTAGAAACTGGGAGACCTGGAGTTCTAGTCCCGCCTTAGACACAAAGCCAGCTGGGCGACCTTGGACCAGTCACTCTCTCTCAGGCCCTAGGAAGAAGGCAAGGGCAAACCACGTCCAAAAATCTTGCCAAGAAAACTGCAGGGATTTGTCCAGGCAGTTGCCAGGAGTTGATACTGATTCCAAGGCACACACACATGCATGCATGCAAAAAAAAAAAAAAAGGCAGAGAGAACAGCAACAGCAAGGAAGAGATAGTAGGCAAGGCTTGCACACAAACAATGAGTTCACTTATTTACCTGTTATATTAGCTACTGACCAGAAGTAGGCACTACCCAACCGGTTTCATCCTTATTGGGAATCTTCAGGCATAGGTGTGCTCCATACTAGAGGTTCTAGGTTCAACCCTTTAACAGGATTTGAACTCTCAGGTCTTGTACTCCTCCACTGTGGAGAATACCTATACCTGAAGAGTGCCAATAAGGAGGAAATGGGTTGGGCAGTGCCGCCTCCTGGTAAGTAGCTAATCTAACATCCAAAGCTATATAAGCCCCTCCCCCTTAAGAGGAGAGAGTCTTGAGGCCTCTAGCATGAGGCCCAGACCAATGAAAGTCATAAAACCTGCAGCATTATTTACTCTTCTTCCTCAGTTTTCTGCCTTCCAGTTCTCTTTTCTCCAACCTTTCAACTTCCCTACATTTCTTCTTCTTCTGAGCAATGTAGGTTTAAGAATGATAAAGTTTCATTTTGAGGGTTTTCTGTAGAAAACCATAAAAGCAATTCTCTGGTTGATACAAAACTTGTTCTCGCCATGTAATATTTTCTCTGTATGCTTCTCTATGGTTCTGCTGTTTTCTCCATATCCTTGTATGTGCATTTTTCTATTTTGGCTGCCCAAAGTAGGTTAAAAGGGGAGGGTAATAAAAGAGTTGAGGAATGCAAGACTACAGATGCCAGATGATGCTTCTTAGAGCTGATAACTGGAAACTAACAAAAACAGCATTGGCATGATCGCCTGGGCAGTTCCAGTATACAATGACTTTATTTCCGTGAGAAAGGAACGGACACTTGTTGAGTATGTTCTAATAACATAGTTGGAAAACAGCTGTGCTCCTGGCTTATTTGTGGACCTTCTCAGTCTATGCTGAGACACAGTGTAAACCCTAACCCCAAAAGTATCACGATGAAGCCATAAATGCTCATTCTTCCCTCAGTGACTGCCCATCCATAGGCTCTTTTGCCTTCTCTCTCAGCCCAAAAAGAAGAAGGGAATTAGGATTGCTAGCAGATTGGTTACAGTCTCCATCCCATTAGAGTTCAGTCAGCAAAGCAGTGGGGAGTGGAGGGAAAGGCAGTGGAGCTGTGTGGGTCTGAGGGAGAATGAAAAGACCCACATAGATCAGGAATGAGGGGAAGGGGCAGGTCTAGAGTTATATTTAAGGATGTAACATGGTTTTTGAATTAGTCCTGAATGTTTAGGGGCACATGAACAAACCAACCACACTAAAGTGTTGCTTCTCTTCCAGTAAAATATCGACTGTTCACTGTTGGACACACACTGGACCCCAAAACAAAGCCTGTCTCCATAGAGATTTTGGTAAGAAACTTGGCATTTAGCTGTCTTTTTTTTTTCCATTTCCATTTCCATTTGTTTTGTTTTTGTTAATTCTGTTGTTTATTAGATCACTTTAGTCTGGGCTGTCCGTCTGGTTTAATGTTTTTAGCTGTTTTTATGGGGGGGGGGTTTCTTACTTTTGTACGCTGCCCAAAGTCCATTGGAGTTGGGTGGCCAATAAATTTAAATAAATAAATAAATAAATAAAATGCCCCATCTGAATGTTCACTTGGATTTTCCTACCATCAGTAGGACAGAAGAAAATGTCCTAAATATGTAGAAAATGACAGCCAGTGCTCTGAAATTAGTTTGCTCCCTCAGCCTGCTCAGATTGCAGCATGAAAGAATTCCCAGAGAAATTATCTTTCACAAAAGGTTCCTTACAAACACGCTTTCTTACATTAAAGAAATATTTCCCAAAAGAGGCTTGTCACAGGAGGAACCTGTGCAGTTCTTGGTTTGGCTTGTATCATCATCATCATCATCATCATTATCATCATCATCATCATCATCATCATCATCATCATCATCATCATCA